TATAATTTGAGAAAAACTTATAAAATGACAAATATACCCTCACATGCAAAGCACGTGACCAACTTAACTAGAAAAAGATAAATGAGTTAAGTTGAGAGAACAATTCTACATCGAAGTTTGAATTATAGGCCATTCGCTGCATGAAAAAAAATTGGCCTGAAACCATACTGTTTGGTAAACCTAAGGGACCAATTTTGCAATTTACTCCAAAAAAAAAAAAAAAAATGAAAAAAAAGTGACGCATGGTGAGGGATATCGAAACTAAGACGGTTATGTCACGAAATCAAGAATCCTTGTAGGCTCCTTGTAGGTTCCAGACGGAGAAAGAGGGGATGATAGATGCATGTATATCCATCTATCCGTTGACAGATACATCTTTGATTTCAACAAATTTCACTACTGAAAATCACTTCAAATTGTGCGAAGATTTTGACAAACAGAAGAAGTAAAAATCAAAATGGAAGGAAATGGAGCACCACCACCACCACCACCATCGGCGGCGATAATCGAGCACAAGGCGTATGCTCGAATTGGACTCCTCGGTAATCCCAGCGACGTGTATTACGGACGTACGATCTCCTTAAACATCTCCAATTTTTGGGCTTCTGTTCGTTTGGAACCATCTTCAGATCTCGTCATCGTCCCTCACCCGACTCACGATCTCGTTAAATTCACTTCACTCTCTCACCTGGTACTCCTCAATTCGCTCTCCGCTTCTTCTTAATTGCATCATTTATCCTTTGATTCCTGATCTATTATTTTATGATCCACTTCCCTATCTCCCTCGCCATTTTTCATGTTAATTACGTTTTCGGACTTACGAACTTTGTGGTTCTCGATCTGTGTTGTTCTATCTTAATTCGATTCGGTGATGAATATAAACGACGGATTTTATGTACTTCAGTGTTGCTAAGATTGAGAACAGTGAATCGATGCTTCTCGAGATTATACTGTTGGTGCATTTTAACTTGTAGGAGTCAAATCCAATGGTAGAAGTATAGGATTTCAGAAGTTGAATCTTAACGAATTTCATATTTATAGTCAATTCGGAAGGTACTGTGCTTGATCTAAAAGGTCAAAATGTAGGCTGTATGCTGCCATTAAACTGTAGTTACACTTACATCATTCAATTCGATCCGCTATATTGTGTTCTTACTCTTGAAATGAAATTCATGCTGATTACATGAATCATTCGTCACATTTGAAAGAATTTAAGATGCGCTTCACAAGGGAGAACTAGAATCTTATTCTCACACATTTGTGTTACAGACAAATCGATTGGAGAACGAAGGTTACTATGGAGGTGTACGCCTCCTCATGGCAACTTGTAAAGTCTTTACCAAATACTGCAAAGAACAGGGGATCGATCTTCACAACAACAACTTTTCTATTTCATATGAAACCAACATCCCTCGTCAGGTAAATCTTTCAAATTTCAACCATTTCTGTTATCTCTTCTTCATTGTATATCCAATGATCCTTGATCCCAAATCTCGTGTTATCATTTTGGAAATTCTATCTTTACCCTTTTCATCTCTCAGACAGGTTTATCTGGTTCTAGTGCCATTGTATGTGCTGCCTTTAGCTGTCTTCTTGACTTCTACAATGTCAGAGACAAAATAGGAGTGGAGATTAGACCTCAACTTATCCTCAATGCAGAAAAAGAACTTGGAATTGTTGCAGGTTTACAAGACAGAGTAGCTCAAGTTTATGGAGGCCTTGTATACATGGTATTTGACATAAATAATTTAGTTTTTCTAAGTGTTTTTAATATATAATATAATGAAATCTATTTGCAGGATTTTGACAAGGAGAAGATGGATAAATATGGGCATGGAAGTTACACAGAGTTGGATACAAGTCTTCTTCCACCTCTTTATCTCATCTATGCTGAAAATCCAAGTGATTCTGGAAAGGTATTTAAATAGTTAAATACAAGAAATAGCAAATTACTTGTATTAATTTTGTTTATAAAATAAAGTTTTCGTGACTTTAGGTGCATAGCACAGTTCGACAAAGATGGTTAGATGGAGACAAGTTTATAATATCATCAATGGAGGAAGTGGCAAACTTAGCTCTTGAAGGAAAAACAGCTTTACTTGAAAAAGATTATTCTAAACTTACTACCCTTATGAATCAAAACTTTGATCTAAGAAGGTAAAACAAGAAATAGAAAAATGTGCTTTAATTGATTTGTTTGTTATCGCATCCTATTTTTATTTCTTCATATTACAGCATTATACTTTGAAGAAAAAAATCTACCTAATAATAATTTATAGCAATAGGGAAATCTCCATAAGAATTCTTATATTTTGGCCTCATAATCGATTTTTGTCCTTATATATGTATTTTTTTATTCAATCAAGTCTCTAAAACTAGCAATTGTATTCATTTTGACCTTTTTACCCGTTAAACAGGTCATCCCTCTTTCCAAATTTACACTTTTGGCCTGGATTTTAAATTTTATTACAAATTTGGTCCAAAATGTACACTTTTGGCTCAGATTTCAAAATTTTGTTACGAATTCACCGTAAACATAATTTTTTTTACAATTTTTTTTGAAGTTAGAGTGCATTTTTACGAATTCACCCTAAATCTAGGGTGAATTTATAACAAAATATTGCAATCTGGGCCAAAAGTGTCAATTTTGAACCAAAATTGTATTAAAGTTTTGCAATCTGGGCCAAAAGTATAAATTTTGGACCAAATTTGTAATAAAATTTTGCAACCTGGGCCAAAAGTGTAAATTTTGGACCAAATTTGTAATAAAATTTTGCAATCTGGGCCAAAAGTGTCAATTTTTGACAAAAATTGTAATAAAGTTTTGCAATCTAGGCCAAAAATATAAATTTTGGACCAAATTTGTAATAAAATTTTACAATATGGGCCAAAAGTGTAAACCTATGACAAAATTTGTAATAAAATTTAAAATCTGGACCAAAAGTATAAATTTTGAAAGTGGGATGACATGTTTACCGGGTAAAAGGGTTAAAAATGAATACAATTCTGGTTTTAGGGACTTAATTGAATAAAAAAATATACAAGGACTAAATCGATTATTAGGCCAAAATATAAGGATTTTTCCTATAGCAATATCATCCAAATAAAAAGTGTAATGTTATTATAATAAGAAAAGAAAATTGAAAGTAGAAAGGTATTTCAGGCGGATGTTTGGGGATGCGGCGCTTGGTGGTTTGAACATAGAAATGGTGGAGGTGGGGAGAAGAGTTGGGGCAGCTACAAAATTCACGGGCAGTGGTGGGGCAGTTGTGGCATTCTGCCCGGATGGAGCATCACAAGTTGAGGTTCTAGAAGAAGCTTGTAAGAAGAGTGGGTTCTTTATTCAACCTGTGAAAGTTGTGCCTTCTCTTCTTAATGAAATAGATATTAGAACTTTATCATCAAAAAAATGAATAGACTTGAGTGAGTGTTGGTAAATGCTATGTGTATGTTGGTTTTTTTTTCATTATTTTTGGATTTGGAGGTTTAATGTGTAGAAATTGTGACATTATGAAGTTTGTATGTTCAATGTTCATTTTGGTATAATATTTTGGAATGTTTTTGAAAAGAATGAAATCGAGAAATTCAAATTTTATAAAAGAATCAAAAAGTAGTTGATAAACTAGTTTTTTTAAAATTGTTATTACTTTTTTTTTTTTTTTTTTTTTTTTTTTTTTAATTGTTATGTTACAATAATGGTTTTGTTTGGTGTGTTACAACTCATTTATTTTTCGAATTTTTTAAAATTGTTATATTTGGCAATCTAAAAAGTAGCTAATTAACTAGCTTTTTAAAAAACTACTTTTAGTAACTTTTTTTTTTTTTTGAAAATTTCCAGAATATACCTTTAATTAATTATAAAAATATATGTTATTTTAAATGTCTTTTATGTCATTTTATATTTTTTATCTAGCTTATTGGTTAGTTTTTACTAAATGTTATTTTTTATCGGCTAGCAGATAGCTTTTTAACTATCATTTATTTTTCATTTATCAGTTAATTTTTCAGTTATCAGCTAGTCCAAATAAATAAATAAATAAATAAAAACTTAATTGAAGAGTGCTCTTTTAATTATTCTTTTCTACTTATTACTGAAAAAACAAAACATCATTGATCTTTTTGAGAAAAAAATATCAAACTTTTAGGTTATATTTGACGTACTAGTTGAAAAGCTAGCTGATAGTTGAAAAAATAGTTAATAGCTAAAAAGCTAACTGTTAAATAAAAAACTAACTGATAATTAAAAAACGAGCTAATAAAAAATAACGTTTGATAAAACTAACTAAAAAACTAACTAAAAGATATAAAATTGCAGAAAATAACATTTAAAAGAATATGTTTCTAAAATTAATTAAGGGGGTATATTTGAAAATTTTCAAAAAGCTCATAAAAAGCTAATCTAACTAGCTTTTTTTAAAAAGCTAGTTTAAAAGTTACTTTTTGACTTACCAAACATAACAACATAAAAAAAGCTTGAAAAATAAGCTAGTTGTGGCTCACAAAACACAGTCTTATTGGTTAATCCAAAAAAAAAAATCTTTTAATGGTTAAATAACAAAATACAATAGTTTTTGTGAAATTTTACTAACTTATTATCATTTATTTCAGTAGTTTTTTGCCTAGAAAAATATTTCATAATTTTAAGATAGTATTTTGTCGATATATTTAGATAATCCAATATGCAATATATTGTTTACAAGGAAGTATCAATGTATCATAAGAATTTTGGTTGATATTTCCATGTATTCATATTTGTATATCAAAACCTAGTATCCAAAATTTGTAAATATGTAAATTGCATTCATCAAACATGGAACTTGAAGGAATTAAATTCCATCTATTTGGCAAACCATATGCACCATGGAATGGAATCTTATATTCCAATTCCGTTGTGTTCCACCAAAATCAACAAATTCAGCAAGAAGCAAGTAAAACATTTGAAAGTTTTTAACTAACAACTTATGTACAAACGTTACAACCTTCAATTTTCTTAACAAATGCTTCAAAATAAATCACAACTTTCAATACTCACAAAAACCTCAACATTTCATAATCTGTACTACAATAATTACTTATACAACATGTCAACATCAACTAACTCTCCTACATTCATGGTTAGTATCAATATCATCAGCTGTAATCCTATGCATCTATGTTAATATGGCACAACAGATTCTTGGTTGAGATCAAGATTTCTTTGATGATTCCGACTTGGCTTACTTTCATGGAAGAAATCTCATTCTTCACATAATAATGATGTGATTAGCTTTCGTGGGGATGATTGCCAAATTGGTAGATACACAAATGGTTGCTTCAACAATTGCTCTTGAGCACTACATAGGGCTTCAGCAACATCACATAATCTTGAAACTTGGTTTATGGAGGCTTCTTGAGCTTCAACCTAATCAAATTACCCCCAAATTAGAGATAAATACGGGTTTCCTGATTGAATGCCCTAGAAAAAGTGGAAAACTCCCTCCTTTTTCGAAAATCGACAATGATAGTGATGTCAATTTTGAATTAATAGAGGGCATTGTTTAGGGTTACAAACACAAACGAACTGAAATTTGAAAATGCGATTCGATACCTGGATCAGGAGGGTTTCAGCGAGTTCATGATACGTGGAATTCGTCGAATGATCTGTTGATTGGGAGACATACGGATCTGGTAACGCCGTGAATAGTGGTTGTGTTTGGGTACGCTCTTGCAATGCCTTCAAGGTGTTCGATAAATGTTCCCATTGGTGAATCTCCTGCTGATACCTTGTTTTGAGTTTTAAAAGTATTGTCTTCTTTCTTTCCTTGCGATTTCTCTCTTCGACAGCAGGATCCGGCGGCGGTGTGACGGAGGAGGTGGAGACGGTGGGATCAACGCGGAGGCGCTTGGGACGCTTGTAAACGAAGCCGTCGTCGTTGATGAGCTCCCAATCTTCGTCATGAAGTTCCATGGAGTTTTTTCAGGGTTTGAAATCTGATGACGTTAGCAAAACTCCACGGATGGATTGAATCGAAAATGGGGAATGAAATTTGAAAAAGTGGAGCGGAGGGAGTTTCGGAAGTATACGGAAGAAGAAAGTGTGTCAATACAGTTTTGGCCCTTGTTGTTTACACCCATATGCAATTTTAGTTTCGTTTTTAAATTTTAGACATGGATAAGTCTTGTAGTTTCCAAAAGTTGCGCACATGGCCTTGAGACTAACTCCGTAAATTCACATCTGTTCTGTAAATACAATTATATCAATCTTTTTATCTTTTCGGTTTTTTTAGAAATTACTATAAACTTCATGGATCAATTATGTTACAGTGAAAGTATGTCCTAGCCATGAACTCCCCCATCGTCCTCAACAATCTCTATCTCTTCCTTTTATGCAAGTCCAAGACCTTCGCCGTCGAGGCTTTAGGCCCAACCCAATACTTAGGCAAGATGGGCCAAAACCCATGGCAACAAAATATGTTGGCATGTATTTAGTATGGTAAGTAATAATGTATATATTGGTTCGACCCAAACAATTTAGCCGAGTATAGAGGATTTCTATTTTCTCGACAAAAACAACATAGTGGATGTTAGAAATTGGGGTATAAAAAGGCTTGAAAAATCTGAGAATTGTGATATCACTTTAAGATTAAAGTATATGAGTGGTACTCTTAACCTTTAATCGAATAAGATACAGAATATGAGATCAAGAACAGAGAATGTGATTGTTATGAATTTCGAATGTACCATAAAATGAGACCAAAACCCAATTTATGATCTTTGTCTTAAAACTTTCATATGATAGTTTCAAAATGTCATCAGACTACCAAAACTGACATAAAAAACGAGTATTTGGATAAGGGTCAAAACAATGGTCAATTCTTTGAAAAAACGAATATCTGAAAACGGGTATTTTAACGTTAGCCATGGGTTGCTGCCCCTTGGACCCCGCTCCCAGAGGCGCTGTCCCCGAAACCTTATTCATTCAGGGACTTCGCACTTAAATGACAGTATACTTTGAAACTTGATCAAACTTAAATAAGTGTGCACTCTACACCTCCCTTACTTGTTTAATATTTATCGATATCACTTTTGATCAACAAATTAATCATTTTACATTTAAATAACTTTGATGATAACAAATCACCAATAGTGGATTGACGATAGAGATGTTGTCGACATTTGTGATTTGATTGCCAATCGATGCCTAAAAAAAGAACTCTATAGAGAGGAGTCTGACTGTTCTAAAACTAATTTCTAATTTTTCCTATTATCTTCTATCAGTTTTATTCAAAATATGCATCTTTGATTTCACATAGATTCTCATATTCTTTTGATTTCAGAGTTTGTCACACTCCAAAACCGAGAACGGCGGAAACGTTATGGGGCGGAGAACGTCATGTAATGTATTACAACAAATGTAAAGTAGTAAATAAGCAACAACATCATCCATTGCATTAATAGTATAATTTTAGTTACAAGTGTTTTCTTTCATAGTACAAGACAACATGATAATTGATCAAAATGAAAGACGAGTCTTGACTGCTCCGTCTTCTCTAAACCTTGCATCGGCACCTGTCTATTTGTGACCTGAGAATACAAGTTATTTTGAAAGTGTAGGTCAGCATTTAAGCTGGTGAGTTCATAAGTATTTAATGTCATTGCTTTGATTAGTTGATATGAAAGACTGATGAATGATTGATGAAACATTTAGTATAAGTATGAAAACTCTAGAAAATTCCATATTTCCTACTAGTATAAAAGTAGTCTTCTACCAAGACCCGAATGTTTTGAAAGTACGCATCACTTGAAAAATGTGACGGTTTTTCCCTGTTTAACTATTTTTACTATAGAACTCTAAAAGTAATAATATAATAACTTATGTTGTATCCTTTGGTACTAAGATACACACGGCGTGGAAACTCGTCATAAACAGATCAATCGTAGACATCCGTAGATATGCATTTACCTCTGTTGCTAACAGCCGGGTTTAGGAATAGTTAGTCCCTTAAGTATACCTGTAATGGTATCAACTGAAAACATCCGTAGATATTCATTTACCTCTGTAGCTAACAGTGGTTCTCGGAATGGTTAGTCCCTCAAAGTATCCTTTGGTACTAGGATGTAGTCTAGACTCATGAATGAACTGACTCTGGTGTAACTTCTTGTAGTAGGGATAGTGTTTTGTTTACTCTAAACTATTCCTATAATAGTTTACTAGAATGTAATTGATGAGTATCCAAGTAGGTTTATACACCCTTGCTACCCAAAAGTATCGGAACTAAATTAACTGATGGAACATTTATGACCATATATGTATACATGATATATAACTAGTATTTAAACGACCTTCGGAGGAGTACCCGATATCCCACCAGACCACATCCAAATCGAGGAAAAGGAAACAGGGTGGATAGCCTTCCTAAGTCTTTTAAACATTTCTTATATAACTATACATATAGAGGCATGCAATTTATAATATAAAAGCATAAAGAAGTTTTGTAAAGCCGTTGAAAAGTCTAATAAAGAATGTGTGACTTGATGTCAGTTTATAAAATGATTGGAAGTATTTTGTTTGATAAGACAGTTTAAGTACACGGAAAACCACTGTTTGAAAACACCTTTGTAACCGAGTTTGAAAGGAAGCTTACAGTGTGTAAGACAGTTTGATAACGAGCTTTAATCATGTAAAAACGTTTAAGAAAGTCATTTGAAGTAATATGTTTAGTAAAACTGTTAAACTTGTAGTAAATCCATTTGTATACTAGTTATAAATCCCAGATGATTTATTTATTAACAACAAGTATCCCAAAATATTGATGTTTTTCGTGCCAAAATAATCGTATGTTTGTAGTATCAAAGATGGACACATATACATACAGTATAAGCAGAGTGTTTGATTTATATATATATATATATATATATATATATATATATATATATATATATATATATATATATATATATATATCAACACTTTTCATTTCAAAAGCTATGATGTTATCGTGATATATTTTGCATACGAAAGTTTCCTAGAAAGTTTATAAATCACATATGATTCTACTTAATAAAAGTGTATAATAATCTTTATATATAACACCCGATAGTAGTTGAGTATTTAACTTGTATCCCCCCCCCCCCCTAAAAGCATATAAAAGTATTTATAAAACATTTAAAAGTGTTGTTTATAGGGGTATGAACTCACTTGATTGATTGAAGAAAGCGTGACGAAAACCGAGCAGAACTTCTACTCGAGAAAGCGGATCCCTCGAGATTCTCGGGAAATCTCGGGAGTCTCGGGAGTGTAAAACTTTCTTCCCACCTTGGATATGAAAACCGGGCCTTTAGGATGACTCCGAGGGTTGAAACGCAGACCTTTGGCGCGAGAAAGGAAGGAAATTAGCAAGAATGGCCGGCACCCTCGCATCCTTTTTATAGAGGCTGAAAGCCTCGTGTACGCTGGGCGTACGCTTGTACGCGGGGCGTACGAGACGTCATGCATGACCGCATCCTCGGTCGAAGCATCGGGGCGACGTGGACGAACCAGAGCCTAGCATCCGAGTACGCTGGGCGTACGAGGGATCGGACCGCTGACTCGTACTTCGGATAATACCGGGTTTTAATTAAATTTATATTTTAATTAATTAGCAAACTTTAAAAATTCATATCTTTCTCATACGAACTCCGTTTTCGACGTTCTTTATATCCACGCGAAGGTGAGACTACGATCTACAACTTTCGTTTAGACTCCGTCGGCTAGTTTTGACTTTATTTTTAATATTATATTTTTAATAGGTCGGGACAGGAAAAGTCCGTTAAAATTTCATAACTTCTTCATCCGACGTCCGTTTTCGTCAGACTTTTTACCGTTGCGCTAGTATTGTTGAGTCCTTCGATTCTCATTTAGATTGTGTCGGCCAAAATTCTCTCGATCTCTATTTCGAGTTTTTAGCTGTCTACTGCTATATCTGTAACTTAGAAAAATCACAACTTCCTTATACGAAGTCAGATTTGGACGTTCTTTTTATGTGCGTTTACGTTTTGATGATATCTAAAACTTTCATTTAGATACCTAAGGACAAAAACTATTGTATTGAAACTTCACATTTTACGTCTATCAGTATTGCCGGTTTTGCCGAGAATCTTCGGTTGGTCATAACTTCTTCGTTATAACTTGGATTTTAGGGTTCTTTATATGTATGAAAACCTTGATACGATTCCTACTACTTTATTTAACCAAAATAAGATTTTTAGAAAGTTAAAATTTGACCTAAATTTGACTTGCGTTCCATCATATTGCCTCGAAATACCGGGTTGTCACAGAGTTGTTGTTTACTTCAAGAGTAGAACTGTAGCCTATATGAGCTTGAACTTGTGAGTCGTGCTTTGAGTCGGAAATCAGAAGTTGACAATTTTGAAATTTATGATGCTTACCTTTTCAGTTTCCTGAGTCTTGTAGTTTATGATTCTAATTAATGATTATCTTCATGATTTCTGATTTTGATTGAAATTATAGTAATTATCATTGATTTTCGATTTTAAATTGAAGTATTTGGATTTCTGATAACTTAAGGATGATGACCCTTGGGGCATTGATTTAATTTCACGATTTCAAGTTTGGATGAAATTTACACATAGTGATTTATTTTTGCTACATTTGATGATAATTTCCTTTATGTTGAAATTTAAATGGTTTGTTGTTTTGAAAATTGCCAAATTGACTGAATCCATGTGTGATTGGGATTTTGTAATTTCATAAATCCTTGAAATTTTAAACCAATTTGTCAAGTATTGGTCTATTTGTTAATTGGTTTGCGTTAAATATGAATTTGTAAATAAGTTTCCAAAATGCTAGTACATTAGTTGTAAAATTGTTTTTATACTCATGTAATAGTAAATTTATACATGTATCACAAAAATATATTAAAATATATATATTTTTTTAATTAAATATGACATGTGTTATTAGTTAAGATGGTTAGAATGATATCTAGGGAAAAAAATGTAGGAGATTTAATTTATCTTATATTAATAGGTGGGTTTTATGGAAATTTTTTCAAAACATTAATCAAGTAGTTCAATCCCATTTAACTAATTACTTATTAATTGCCTTTGTTAAATAAGCTATTTTATTTAATTAATAAATAAAATATTAATCAAAGGGTCATTGTCCTAGTGGTAATAAGTGATTTTTTCATTTGAGAAATCATGAGTTCAAGTTTTACTGGAGATATAGGTGGTAATAATTAGAACTAGATTTGTTTGCCGTTTCAAATAATAATAATAAAATTAATAAAATATTATATTTATTATGTTTTATTTAATTAATAACAAATAAATTTATTATTTATAAGTATATTAGTTATTTCTATATCATTTTTCAAACTTTCATATGTAATCCTATAGATTCATATATTTATAGTACAAAACATTGCTTGGATCTTGCATACTATATCCATCACATGACAACTTTCCTTAGAACCCTTTTTCCATTCGATTGGTTTCAACTATCGGTAGATTAATTACATGAACCAATACATGTATACATGTATAGGGGCACCATTTTACAAGATATAGATATAAAACATTTGGACAAACATAAGGAGCAACAATAGCTTGACATTAATGTTGTCGATGATGTTTGTCCAAACTCTTATAGGTTTATATATGATGACATATCTAAACCATAATTTATCATATTTCCTAACGTAGTAACATATTGATTGTCTCCTACAAACCTCCTACCCAAAAAACTATGAATAACTAGTTCAATAACTCATTTTGGGTAAAAAGAATGTTTGAAGACTTGGATATTAACCTAAAGATTACAATTTCACAGCTTTTTATTTTATACATAAACAATTTGGCTATACGAAACCTAATGACAAAGGATAGATCACTTTTTAAAAGAAGAAAAAAACAATTTTACATTAGCCCACAGTGAAATTTGTGATTAGACCTGAAATGAGTTGAGTTTGGAACGAATTAACCTTAATATAAACTCGTTTAAAATTTCTCAAAATCCAATCCAAACTTCGAATCAACCTTGATATAAACCCGTTTAAAAATTTTCAAAATCCAATCCAAACTTGCTTTGTAAGCTGCAAAGTTTTGAATAATCAAACTAATATCTTTATCCACTGAATAAACAGATATCAAAACTCGTCCCATAACCCGTATGTTTTTTTAAATAATAAAAAAAATTGTTTATTTAGAAAACGCATTACATATTTGAGGACTTTCAATTGGAATTAAATTCACTATTGTAGTAACTTCCGATTGATTTTGAATATTGAATGCGGTGATAGAGAATAGCAATTGCAAACTTTTTTCCGGTTGATAATGACTTTATTGATTTATAAATGAAATTAGTGATTGCTTGATGAAATATTAATGAAATAATACCATGATTCTTGGTAAAAAAACCATCTAGAAGTTGACTCTTCGAGTTCTATGTAAAAATAGTTTGGTTTTTGGCTTTTGCCATTTGGACTTTCGATTAAAATTGAAATTAAACTTTAGATAGTATAAAATATAAATATATGATTATAAAATTTATACGGAACGGGTTATAAACTGTATGGATCGGTGATAATCCATATCCGACCCTTTTAATAAAAACGTTAGCAGGTACGAGTTATTAAAGGGTCAAAACTCGCTCCATTAACAGACTTATTTGTGATTATTTTGAGAAATTTTAAAATTTGGGGATATTTATGAAAAACCATATGAAAACATGGATATATTTGTTATTTTCTAAACAAAAGAATATATCTTTATATAGATAAATTTAAGTTTTTAACAAACACCCTATATATTATTATAGAAGAATGAATATATGTTTTGATAAACAAGTTTCTCGGTCTTTTTTCTTTGAGCGTCTTGTAGATATCGTAAATTTAAGTTTCTTTGATTATCTAGTAAAAAAACTACTACTTTTTTTTTATAATAAATTACTTTTATTTCTAGCTATCAATTACTGGAATTAAATATTTTTAAACAAAAAATCAGACAAGATAGAAACACTTAACTAAAAAACTCATGGAATTAAAAGTTTCACATTTACCAAATACTACAAAACTAGGTCTCTCCATTAGTGATACTTACATTAATTTATAAAATTTATTTAATTTAAACAAAATCCAAAACCCACTAACCATTCGTTGAAGTATTGTATTCGATCCCCTTCTCCTTTAAATACGCTCTTTCAGCTAATGTCATCCGTGATTGAAACGTTGCCCACTCCTTTTGACACCTCTCTCTCACCTAAAACCAAAAACAATCCTACTTTATCATTTTTCTTTTATGTCAAAGAAAAAAAAAAGTCAAAAAGTCAAACGTACCCCTTCCCATGGTGCCTTCCCATTCTCGGAATTTCCCTAAGAGAAAAAAAGGAAAAAAAAAAAAAAAAATTAAAAGTAAAGTAAGTTGAAAAAATATTATATAAAGTAGATTGTTATTTTGAGAAAAAGAGTCTCACTTGGTTCCCGAGTGAAGGAACCGTTTGATGAACAATCCACTGAGCGTCTACGACTCCTATCTTTTCGTGAGCGGGCTGTTTTAAAATTTAAGCAACCAACTTTTTATTCAAATTTATTATATTTTTGGAATAAAATAAAATAAAATAATATTGATATTATATATTATCACCTCGGCACATCTCCTAAGAGCAAAGTCCAAACCCCATCCATGGACCAAGTCGTTCTGTATATCAGGGTTTAATCTGGTAAGCTATATATCAGTGTTTCTAATATATAAAGAAAATAGGAAATGAGGCTTTCTTCATTTATTACTTTTTTAATAATTTACTCTCGTTTATTTTTTCATTTGATTTCCCTATCCATGTTGTCTTTTTAATTAAATGTTTTTTTAAACGTTATTTATTCATTTATTCAGATAACATTTAATCGTTTCTTTCACATAAAATTCTAAATTTACTATATTTTCCCTAATTTTTTTTTCCTTTAATTTCGCTAAATCTTATTTTTCGAGCTTTTACCAAACATCATTTTTTATCAGCTAGCTTTTCAGCTATCAGTTAACTTTTAAACATCATTTATTCAGACTGACAAAAATCATTGTGAAAAACCTGGATCATATGCCAAACACAACGCCATGCATTCCGGGAGAAAACAGGAGCCATTATCTCAACAAATCTGTGTTTCATAAAAAAAAAATATATATATATTTTTTTTATTTCATGTTAATAATAAAGCAAATATTAAGATTGAGATTTTATAAAAATATGTAAAGTGACAAAAAAATAATAATAATAATAACATACGCTGCACATGGTGGCAAATGTGGATCAGTGCACCACCCATCCCTTTCCTCTGCTTCTCTAGGAATGCAAATGTGGATAAGTGAATTTACGAAATTACCCCTATATCCAACAAATGAAAATGAATTTTGTTTCTTACTTGTGCACTTCACTATCATCTCGTTTCCTTGTCATTTGCCATGTGAGTCCACTATTAGCTGATAAACCTGGCTGAGAAATTTCTAATCCATGCTTCTTAACCAAACTTATATACCTGTGTATCAAATGCTACAAAGTCTTAAATAAATTATTTACTTTTCACTTACCAAAAAGATAAATTTAAAAAAAAAAAAAAAAAAGTTCACCTTTCAGCATCAAAATCCTCCAATCCAAGATCCTCATCCCAGATGAATATATAATCATAAGGTGCCAATATATCTGGATGCAAAAACCGTTTTGCATACCACCTAAAAATAATTCCATTCAACATTCTTCATCTACCAAATAGTTTTAAGTTTTTGAATTTATGCAAAAGGGTAGTTTTGTAAATTGTAAATAACTAAATATTACCATTTAGTTTGCTTGAGAACACTGACATGTATAGCTCTCTTTGACCATTCAAATTCATCCCATTCAGTTGTGCGTCCATCATAGTGAAACAATAAAATTGAGAAGTTCTCTGAGAACTAAACTTTCTATAATTAGATAGGTTTTGTTTTATTTACACACACACACACACACACTAGAATAAAAAGGACCCAAATATGAAAGAAGTGAAATAACCATATCATCATTCACCAACCTTCTTCACAGCTTTATCAATGTTTTCCTTCTGCTCATAACCCACTGTAAATGTTACAAGGTACCTTGGTTTGATAATCAAATCCTGAAAAATTCAAGATTTCACCCTTTTAAATAAATGTAATTACAAATATCAAATTAAAGTAAATAAAAAAAATGGATTTTTTGAAAAAGATATTTACCTCACTGGGTATACCATAGAGTCTTCTGAGGTAGAGATCAGACTCAGATGCAACTATACCTGGTGGAAGCCTTTGAGCACCTTGAGGATTTGTTGACACCCATATCTGCATTACAATTTATAAGGATTTACACATAAAGAAAACACACAGAGATACACAAAATGGAAAAACAATAAACAAATTTACCTTTGTGTCCTCTGGTTCGTATGATGATAAACCCTTGTGATGCCTTATTAAAGACCAAACATTCAAGAGGGCTTGTGATGAGAGGCCTGAGTATTTGTCCTCTATGTAACCAAGATCAATGGATGGAAGTAGAGTAGATGGAAGGTTCATCTGTTTCAAAGAGAAAAAATTAGGTTCATGTAAATGAAAGAATGATAAAACTGTTGAAATTTGAAAGCATACCTTGGTTAATGAAATTGTTGGGAAGGATACTCCTAAAAAGAATCCAAATACAATACTGATAAAAGTTGTTACTATTAGCCTCATTGTCTCATTTGGTCTTCTTACCATTCCACTGCATAAAAAGTAATTGTAAATGACAATGAACAGATATTTTTCATTGTAAGGAAACAAGAACTCGAGTGAAGAAGAAGAAGAAGAAGAAGAAGAAGAACCTGCGCATAGGTGTTCCCATATTTATTCTGAACTGGATGCCCTTTTAGAACTCTTGTGAATCTATCACGATGAGTGATTCATAACCTGTGTTTGAATGTGCGTTTTCTAAACGATTATTGAGGCTTGAAGAACGATGATCAAATGATTTTATTTGTCAAAATCTGATTTATTCCACCTAATATCAAGTGAAAAACATAATCGTAATCAGTTCCAAACACTCAACACTGATTATTGCTATTTAGTTCGCGATGTTTATGCTGTTTAAACCCAGATCTGGAGCTATAAAAAGCTATCAATCAGTTTAATTTCTTGTGTAGCTGAAGAAATACAGTTTTTTTATTTTTTATTTTATATTTATTACCAACCGACAACTATATTTACCAAATTACCAAACCACATACGGCATTCACAAACAAACAAAGTGGAGCGAGAAATCGGGGGAAAACGAACTCAATCGATGCAAACATAATGCAAATCAGCTCAGCATAGATCGTAATCTAATATTACAAACCAGAACAAAATGCAAATCAACTAACGTAATCAATTTACATGAACTATAATATGTATACATAAACACAAATACAGTGATATCGTGGATTTCAATTACCTGAAATGAGCTACAGCAGGAGAAACCCTAGATTTGAGTGCTCGAATTTGGAATTCTTACTTCATCAAACACCAGTTACACCTTCTAATCTCCTGAGTAAGTTCGACGGAGCGAACTTGAAGTCACTAAGCGGAGGGATTTCCAAACGAGTTCATGGAAGATCGATTAAATTCATGAAAGCTGATTATAAAAGCTTGCACGAAGAATCTTTGAACAGACAAAATTCCATGATGATTGATGCGAATTGTTTATTTGAGAGCGTGGAAGATCGTTGGGCAAGACACTGTGTTGCCCCACTCTGTATTTGTGTCAGAAACAATAAGATCTTGACCGTTGGTTATGGTTGATGTTTGGAGACGTGTACGGACAATAACGATTCAAAACTCTTCCCGCATTTTTTATACGTTATATAATAGTACATATACATAAATAAATACACATTATTCAACGTATTTTTGTTTACATTGGAGTTTGCAGGTTTCAATTTTGGATTTAAGCATTAGTTTTTTTATTGCGTATTTTCTGAGCGTACCTAAAAAAATTATTTATTTATTTATTTATTTTTATTTAATAAAAACAAAATGGTTCGTTATAAGAAAGTAAAAATAAAAAAAAGTAATGTTGTTATTATGTGCATTGAGTCATTTGATGTTTGATGTTAATGTTTGTATATATAATATATTTCTATGGGCATTTCAAATTTTCAAATAAATATTATCATATTGCAACAAAAAAATGTATATTTTTTGACCCGAAAATCTGCAACAAATTAGATAAAGTTTTAAATTAGAATTAAAAATATTTAGTTGTATCACAACAATTTTGATGATGCCTTGTGACATGTTATGACAATAGTTTTTTTTGTTATATATATATATATAATATATATATATATATATATATATATATATATATATATATATATATATATATATATATATTCTACTATTGTTAACTTTTTGTTTTTAGTTGATGATATAAATCTATATTTATGTTATAATATAGTTATAAATTAATACAAAATTATTGTTTTACATTACATTTTGAAAATCATCACGATTCATAAAACTTAAAGTTTAACATTGCACCACTTCATGTTTTATGCTTTTTAGAACCTTTATATTAGTACAAATTTTAGAAATATAAAAAGTAATAATATTGTTTGTAGGTAATTTTATCATCACATTTTCTATTAGGGTAAATTTGTTATATCTTTCTATTGATGCCTAAATCACGTTTGAAGCTAAAGACATGATATAAAGAAAATCCAACATACCACTTTATGTCATAATCAAATAAGAAATGTTTAAATAGGTCAAAAAGATTATAAATCCGACAAGAAATCTACTCAAAGGGAACAATATATATTAGAGTACAACAAATAAAGACCCACACACTTAATTTGGTGGTATTTTTTGATAAATAAAAAAAAAAAAATACTTCTTTCACATTCTTTAAGATAATACGAAGAATTAAGAAATGAGTTTTTTCAATTAGTATAAATTCATAACAAATGATATTATTATTATTATATTACATTATTGATACATGTTTAGGACATAATTCAGTAATCGAAAGTGATGGATCTGAAAATAATCCTTTAGTGATTTTTGTCGCAATCCAATTGTTTGCAGCATCAGAATAATGTACACCATCCCAACTAATGACCTTAGTTGGGTCTTTACAAGAATCAGCAAACACGTCACTACCATTAATCTTTCCCCGATTCCCACAATACACGTCTTCATCCACATCATGGTACCCACAACATATCGTGAACCATTGTTTAAATCCTATCAAAATCCATATAAAAACATGTCAAAGAACCTATTTTTACATAATTAACAAAAATAAATATTGTAATTGATAAAATAACTTATATCACAACTTAGAGATTCAAGTGACAAACCTAGGTCCTTTGCATTGCTAATTAGTTCATACTTTGCGGCATATATGTCCACATAAATCAATATAGCTTTTGGGAGATCTGATCTCAACTGAATTACTTTGGCTCTAAGTTGCTTGTTGAACTCAATAGCTATAGCATTTTGGTTTTTTGCACATCCAACCTCATCAAGGGAATCTGGTGGTGGATCAAGATTTTTCGCATATATTACGGGTAAGCACCCTATGGGTCCCGTATTATGTATCCAAAACACCCTTGCCCCTTTTCCATACAATTGCTATACATTCATGTTTCAGCTAAATGTTATTAATATAACCTATCATAGTTACAAAATATATCTTCAAACCAAGTGCAACAAGTATATATATGGTTTCAATGTTAACATGCATGCTGCATTCTTTATTTCTCTTTGTGATGAAAACATACATGTGTATTGAGCTATGACTTATGAGCCAACATCTACCCATATTTTGCCTTAAATAGGTTGACAAGACTTAGTTACCAACTTGGACACATTATCATGTCTCACTCTCATCTTTATCATTTATTCGTATGGATGTGCGTCCCACTTTGACATAAATGTGGACATTTTATAACATATTATTAACTTATGGTTCCTAGTTTCAATCTAAAAGGTAAACAAAGAAAACTTACTTGAACACAAGAAGTAAATTGATTGACAATGTCAGGGATGGCAGCTCGACTCGCTTCAACTCCCAATGTCCTAAAAGCGTATGCAATATCATTTTGGCCTATATCGATTGTGTATATAGCTTTCATAAAATCATCGGGTTTAGGTAAATTACTTCTTTGAGACTCCTCCTTAGCTACCAAAGATATATTTTTTTAGTTAGGTAAAAACTGATAATTTAGCTCGGATATTTATTTTAAGGAATTTACCTTGATTATACAAATATGTCGTTCTATCTTTAAATTGATTAAAATGTTCAACTTGGACATCCAAAGAAAACGGGCTAACCCCATTTGCAAACCACGACTCATTTACACGTTTAATGGTCGCACCACCCGTTGCAAAATTCGCACCATGCGTGTAATTTGCCTTGATCGAATCCAAATACGCGCTCAAATACAACAATCCAAGTTTCTCAGCTAATTATATATATATATATATATATATATATATATATATATATATATATATATATATATATATATATATATATATATATATATATATATCGTAAAACAATAAGTTTAGTTAATAAATTAATAAATTATTATTATAAAAACATAAAATCAAGATAATTTGTTTATAATTCGTATAATTTTTTGTTTACCAATGAAGTCTATGATCAGGCGGCCATCGCTAGCTCTTCCAACGGGCCTCTTGAAGAAGGTTTCACCGCAGGGCGGCCCAGGAGGATAGAATGCCGCCGCTATGCCACCAGTGTCAGAGTTTGAATCACCGAAATTGTATATAGCCGGAATATGACAGTTACCGGAAGGAGGTGGAGATGGCTGACTGGTGGCTACTCCGGCAGCCATTGAGAGTAAGAATATGATAGCTGCCATGATGAGTACAAGCAAACTCCGGTGGTCCTTTATGTATATACACAAGCACCATTTCCTTCTCTTTGCTTAAGTGTCACTTTAGCCCCTCTATTTTCACCAACTATTTTGAATATTGAACAACTAAAAAATTTAAATTACGTATTTTTTTTAATAGAAATGTTTAATAATTATACATTTAAGCTTTTTATAATATTAATTAAATTATTATTGTTTAATTTTAATCAAATTATCTAAGAGTTGTTGTCTCCGTTAACTTGCTTTCCGCTTGTCTTCTTGTTTTAGTTGTAATTTTTGTACATTGATTTTATTTATTTATCTACTTATTTTTTATTTAATAAGATTGTGTAATTGACTTATTAAAAACATTTGCGATAAATTTGTAAATTGGCTATGATAAATTGATAATTATATTTATGTAAGAGTATCTCCAACTAAACATTATAACTAATTTTTTATACCAAATTAAATGTTCTATCTATCAAACCTAACATAATTGTTATACCATTTTGTGTACAGTTATCATTCAAGTTTGGGTGTTATATAGTTTTAGTTTATTTTCCAGTATCTAATGATATTTTAACTATAATATATGTTACTTTAATATTATATTATATGCTAAATTGATATTAATTTTTTATATATATTGAATTTAAGTTTTATTTTTTGAACTTATTTAATAATTTAAAATTGTTAACTACATACAGTTGACTAGTTGTGTTATTTAATAAGTTTTTATTTATTAATCATTATTATTATTATTATTGCAAAAAGATGTACATAAATTAAATAACTAAAGTATTATTAAAAAGTATACATAAGTTAGAAAAATTAATATATTGTGAATACTCTTCTAATATAAATAACAACGATACTAAAGTATCATTATCAAGCATTACATTATTTTAATATACAAAATAATACATGTATAACCCTTGCATCTAAAAGGTTTATTAATCTGTTAAAGGGAAGGTTAATTATTAAAATATTCAAAATGCATGGTAATTCTAAGATCAATTCTTAAAATATCTATTGATAAGTATTTGCAAAATACGTTCACATAATACATTTGTACACAAAATAACATCAATAATCGCAAAATGATGTTGCCATTTCGTATGAGAAAGAATCACTAATTTTTTAGAAGATTTTGTATTGTGGCAAAATACTTCAAGTTATCACTAATCAATAAGAGTCTTGGTATTCATGTTTACCTTTCTTAACTCTTATATATAGGAAATGAGACTTAATTTTTTACTACAAATTGATAAGCGTTTCTTTTATTCATATAACTATCTCATTTTCTTTCTAACACCGAATAATGAATAAAAAACAAAAATAGATATTCAAACTCATGACCATAGATATTCAAACTCATGACACTTCTTTCATACAAAGAAAAGAAGTAAGGGGCAATTAATTACCTATAAAAACAATTTTACGAAAAAAAGAAGGATTTCACGAATGTATTATACTTCATATTAAATGTTCAAAAGATAACTTTCTAGAATGGAAAACCAATAAATGTACTGTATCTCTTTTCTTTACTTTTAAAACACACATCTGGCATCATGTTGACGTATACATGCCGTTATGCTTCACCAATCTTCAACACAAACAGGCCACATTTAACTCATAGAGATCATAACCTTTTAAAAATGTGTATCTTTGCAAATTAGGGTTGTTATAATGAGTCACACTTTTATGAAAATTAACATCTACAAATCAGATAAATATAATCTCTTTAATTAATATGTAACAATCAAGATTGCGCCAAAAAAAGGTAACATGCAATTCTAATACGTCGTACAAAAACTATGAAGGATTTTTTTTTTTTTTTTGGATTTATTTTTTGTTATTTTTTGGTAAGAAAGGTGTAGAGTCATTACCACCAGTACCAAAATAACGATCTCCAAATTCACCCATTCCTGGAATTACTCTTGAATGCTCGTTTAGACCGGAATCTATCTCTGACGTCACTATTTTAAGTCTTGGATATTGTCCACAAACTGTATGTATTCCTTCTGGTGCCTTCACATATATCATTACCAAATAAAAAAATACAATCATTATTATATTTATCTTTTTATTGATAATGATATTATTTTATTTTAAGATAATGTTAAAATAAAATAAATTATAGTTGTTAGCCAAAATTCAAAAAATATTATCAAGACATTATTGACATGAATTTATGAAAGGACTCTACTTTGGTTTTTTATTTTTTTGTTTAAACATAGAAAGTTTATATATATATATATATATATATATATATATATATATATATATATATATATATATATATATATATATTTTAATTTTTTAATTTTATATATTGAGATTTTATATTATTTAAAAAAAAAGGTATTACATGAAACTCTAAATTATATAAAAACCACTATAATTTGGAATTATTTAGGATATAACCAGATTTTATTATTATTATTATTATTATTATTATTATTATTATTATTATTATTATTATTATTGTGATTTAACAATTATAACATTGAATTTAAGAAAAACATCTTTAACTATAAAATTGATCTTCTAATTGTTTTTTGAAATTCATTAACCCAAAAAACTCAGTGTTTTTTCTTTAAGAAAAAAAAAAACTTTCAGAGATCAGTGCAGAAAAAAAAAACTCTGAATGGTTATTAAAAATAAATAATAATAATAATAATAATAAACTAGATGGCTTTTATGGAATCTGACTTTAAGAAATATGATCACATACCTATAATAGGTAAAAGGTACCTTACTTATTACAAATAATAACAACATACTTAATGTTTTATTCAAAATGCAAGTACTTTGCTATTATGTATATGGAAATATATATACATTGTTATTATAGGTAAAAGGTACTTTACTTAATACAAATAATAACAATATCCTTAAATTATTTTCCATAATAGAAACATACTTGATTTTTTACCAATAATAGCAACACACAAAACTTTACTTACTACAAATAACAACATATATATATATATATATATATATATATATATATATATATATATATATATATATATATATATATATATATATATATATATATATATATATTTGGTAGAGAATATAAGTACACTGCTATCTTAATTAATCCGAATTGAGCTTACTGCAATAAGGTTAAGGAAAATGATGTTGGATTCAGATACACCCTTGTTGAGCAACAAGGAAATTGCCTCCACAGCAGAATCACCTGATTAGTTATAAAAAAAAATGGTTTAAAGAATAAACATTATTTTTTATTAAAAAAATTGATGATAAGTTCAAGTGTATTAATTGTATAAAACCTGAAGCAAGCACTGGATCAAGTAATAAAACTTGTCGGCTTGCAATATCTTTAGGTAGCTTCTCATAAATTAACTGCACCAAAAAATTTAATTTGATACAAGTTTATTTTATTTACATTATTATTATTATTTAATGGTTTTTGTAGGAGAAACTATACCTGTCGATCATTCCCTTCGCGTTGAATAAGGACTTTACCGATTTTGATTCCTTTACAACAAGCTCTTAACGCATTTTCCATGCTTTCCCCACTAAAAAATTGTGAAATTTAGACTTCTTATATTTTTTATAAATATAAAATGAAGAAAGAGTGAGAGACTTATGTTCTTTTGTGTGGAAAAATTCGTTGTTGAAAAGAAATACCTTCGAATGACCGACACGCCACATAACCTTTTGCAGAATACCACTCCTGTGTAGATGGATCCTGCAAAAGGTAAAAATAACTAGACTCGTGAGAGCGTATTTACGTCTTTTATACATGTCTTACATTTTTGGGTAAGAGAAAAAAAATACTTTTATCCCATTTACATCAGTCTCATAACTCTCATTTACATCGGTGCACACAGCCCGGTATTATCTGTTATGTTTTGTCTTGTACTGTGTAACTTACCTGTTGGAGTAATGATTTGTTTTTCAGTAAAAGGAAGATGACCTAATCCATGCTCCACAACCTAAAAATTATTTCAGACATTTTAAATGAATATAAGATCATAATCTTAAATCATATTTTAAATATTTTAAATTGTCATCATACCAAGCGAATAAGCCGATCCGCATAAAAAACAAAGTCATGCTTTCTTGTTTTCACATCACGTATGAGTGTGTGCATTCCACGAATCTAAAAGACCAAAGAGTGAAATAAAATTATTTGAAATAAATAAAAGACTACATATTAATAAAAATTTTGATAGACCATATATTTATTATTTGTTACCTGGAACGTTGAGGGGATAACGAAAAGGTTTTGATAAATTTTACAAAGATCATGTTGGCCAAGCTTTGTACGGATATGTTGGACTATCAAGTCAATGGCCACATCATTATCTGATCCTCTAGGGATAATAATATCTGCATGCTTCTTTGATGGAAGAATGAATTCTTCAAAACTAGGTTTTACATGTTTATCATACTGCAAATCAAAGTTTAAATATATAAAAAAAAATGTTACATCCGGGAATAATTCAAAGAGGTTTGGCCACGTGTAAGGGGATCATGTGGATCAGTGAGAGTTGGGTTTAATCTACAAAATTAGTTATTATCTAGTATTTATCTAGTATTCAATTTGTTAGAGTTATCTTTTCTAGCTATTTAGGATCTATTAGTAGTAGGATGTTATAACGATTCATAGTTAGTTTAGGGGAAGAAATAAAAAAGTTAACCTTTGGTTATTGGAGTTTGCCTGTACTTGAATCCAAGTCCCATCAAAAAACTATAATAAAATGATAAAATCAACTAAAAATTCCAATATTGTTTTCAAAAAGAACTAAAGAGCACTACTTTAGTAAATTATAACATTAAAGCGTGTTGAAGACATTGTACTTTGAAAAATCAAACCAATTATAACATGACAATTCCAATTTTTGTATTAGGATGTTATACTTTGAATTATCTTTTAAACTATAACAATGAAATTTGCTTTGAACTTGGAAGATACTGCTATAATTGGATATGTTTTTGAAAGTATATTGCTTTAATAAGAAGAAATGAAAGTAGAATGCTATAATAAACAAATCAACAAAAGTATATTGCATTTAATCCTTTGATAAATGGTTACCTTATATTTTTTGAAAAAGGTACAAACAAATGTGACATTAGCTAGAATCACTAAGTTGGTATCTTCTAGCTCTTAAGCTAATTATACACATACCACTTGTAAAATTCATGCAATTTTTCATAAAGTTAATTTTGTTACTTCATAAAGTTTCTTAAGAGAGTACCCTTTCAAAAAAAAGTTTCTTAAGATAGTAGATTTTATTATTTCATAAAAGTTCATTAAGCAAAAAGAGAGCTCTACTAACTTGGTCAAGCACGTACTGAATATTTCTGCCTCTCTCAACAGTGTCACGCTTTATCCTCCTTCCCAATCGCACATCAGAATCTATATTCATGAATTCTAAAGTTATTATTAAATAATGGAAAATTTAATAATAAACATGTGAATCCAAAAAAAAGTAAGTTATATAGTAAAATGAAAGATGATATAGTATCTAGCCATGTAAGTTTCACTTCATTTTCCATTATATTATTTTTCCCACATTGATTTTCTATTCTCTATATGAAATCCAACATTCGTTATAGAATTTTTAAACGATTTAATTTAATTTAGTTAAAAGTACATGAAAATCAATGTGAATAAATTATGATAAGTAATGCACCTGAATCAACAAAGATTTTCATGCTCATCATATCTCGAACTTTGCTATCATGAAGGACAAGAATTCCTTCAAGAATGATGACATCCGAAGGGTTTATCTACATTTAGTTTAAAGATCAAAATTATTCATTTGTCATACACTAAAATTTGTCCATGATCATCAAAATTAGTTCAATTTCACATACCATGCGACCTGATCCATTGCTCTTATGGATCTTATAATCATAATCTGGAATGTTAGCTGGTTGTCCCTTTTTTAACATTTCCATGCATGATAAAAGAAGCTCAGTGTTGAAAGAATCTGTATAAATCATCATGACATAGTGTAAAGTTTCTAAATGTTTATTGAATTTGTAGCATTAGGAATTTTGAGATGAATAAGTTAATTACCAGGGTGATCAAAATTGTAATCTTGTGCATTTGCTGATTGCTCATCACTCAAAGAATGATAAAATGAATCCTATAAAGAGTTGAACTTGATTAAAGTACTTGAACTAAAGTTTAGCATTGCTAGAAGTAGAGTTCAATCAATAATCATACAAAACCATGTAGCTTGTAGTTGTAGCATCTAATGCATGTTAATTTACAACCTTTTGTAGGGTTTCAATGTGAATAGAGCTTGTATCTTACTTGATTGATAAGAGCAACCCTTTGATCATGGAGTCTTGATATGATCACATTGCAAACAGTTGTTTTTCCAGATGCAGTTCCACCAGCAACACCTTCGTTTACATTTAAAAAAAAATGAAGTAATTTGTTAATATTAAGTATTAACATCACAACATGAACACAACTTTCTGAAAAAAGTGAAGTTTTGAAGTATCAAGACTCCGAGACAGATTATTTACCAATGATGAAAGGCACTTTATTTGGCTTTTGTGCACATACACTGTCTTGTTGAGAAGAAGACTGATCTTTAACAATGTTACTCGATTTATCCGACTTTTTGGCATCCATCACAAGTGTGGAACTCTGATATCGATAAAAACAGTTAGTTGTGTAACTACATTCACTAAACGAAATTGATTTGAAACAATGGAGTTCACTTAGTTCAATACGAAGTCAAACTCCATTCCACACAAACATAAGTTCAACCCAATTAGATTTAAAGTTTTGAAACAATAATCAACATAACGATGATAGAGAAAATGTACAAGTAGATGAACATATCAAGACATATTTTGATCGAATAAAATCTCATTGTTTTAGAAGAAAAGAGAGCAAGCGGGAAAATCACATTTCTTTGAGTTGATGACGTAGCCCATTATTACATGGAAAATCATGATTTCCTTTTTAATTTCTTTTCAGAGTAAATTGGGTGAATGGCATATGTAGTTTGGGGTATATTATGTACTTAGTACCTATTATTTATTTATTTATTTTAACTTGGACCATCTTGTCTTTTGTTTTTTGTTTTGATTTTGGTCCGTAGTTGTCTATTTCATATTTTGTTCCTTTTTAGTATTTATTAATTATGTTTTTCTAATTATCTTTGGTTATTTAAAGAATAAATTACATAAATGGCTGTCGTAGTTTGACGGATCAAATAACTTGCACCACTCATTCTTTGTTTTTCATGCACGATCACTCGATAGTCCTATCGGCATACATAGTTAATGAGAGCCTGATAACCTTCATCTCCCGCCCTACATGCGAAGGACATTTTTGTCTTTCTCTTTTTACTTCTTTATTGTGAGTTGTGAATCTTTGTATTGGCATATCTACTATAATAAATAAATCTACTTTAATAAATAAAAATCATTTCTATCATTTGTTATATTTTCATGCATTTTAACAAATGCAAGTTTGTGATTAATTTTTACTTATCATTTAGTGGTAATTTTTAATTTTCTTAATTAGCTATTCTAATTTTTAGGTTACAGAAAGTAATTAAAGTAATTAATATATTATTAATTTGTTTCCTTGTATTTTCAAATTTTAATATGTATCCTTCAATGAATATAATTCAAAATTGGTATGTTTCTTTCAAAGTTTATTGTCATTTTAGACAAAATGGTCTATATAGGAAAAATAATCGAACTTTGTTGTTTTTCATTGATAAAACTAAAAAAAAGGTTATATGGAAAAAATGTAATTATTTCTCCGTAGTTTGTTTTATTAGTATAAATTGGTTTGTTTATTCATCATTTTGTTTGTATATATTTTGAAATTTTATTTTAAAAAATACTTAATTATTACACTTTGATTTGTGCAACAATATTACACTTTTACTAAATTCCTAAGCTTTTGTTTTTGACATCTTAATACCCACTCTTTTGTATGTATTACATAGTTAGTTGACTTATATGGTTTTACTTTATAACCTATGCTTTTAATCATTAAACTTCTCTTTATAACTTTTTCAAACACATATTGACACATACTTATACATACTTATATATTTGTTATTCTCTTACACATCGGCGCGAAGCCAAAAAAATTTTAAAAAAAATTAGGGTGTTCCTCAATTTAACATGAGGAAAAAGAATACAAATGAGGAAAAATTCTTGAGGAAAAATATAGCATATATCATAAATACCTAAATGATATTTTACTTTAAAAAAAATGAAAATGTGAAGGTGGACATAGGCTACTATGGTCCTAGGGTGGCTCCTCCTTGCTTAGATATACATTTACCTATATATTGTTCTTCACTTTCTCGTTTATTAATTTATACACTTAATTGGATATATTACATTTACCCTTACACAAACACACACACACACACACACACACATATATATATATATATATATATATATATATATATATATGGAATATGTGATCATGTATCTAAACTTATATATAGAACCCTCCAAACAATGTAGTTTTGATTCATATATATATATATATATATATATATATATATATATATATATATATATATATATACGTAATATGTGACCATGTACCTAAACTTATATATAGAACCCTCCAAACAATGTAGTTTTGATTCATTTATATCCAAACTAATCATGATATCTCTTTTACTATTCTTTCTTAATCATGTGACTTACTAAATCGATCAAATTTATGTTCTTTTTCTTCATTGTGTCTAAGAACTTAAAACATTAAAAGTCGTGACCATTTAATCAACGCTACTAAATTATAAATGAAAACTAATAGAATAAAAGATAAAAGAAAAAACATGTCATAACTTAATCAAACTTTTTACAAAATCATTGGATATAATTTTTCAATTGAAAGACAAAACGTTTGAGTTATATTTATTAAAAAATATTGGTTTTCTATTTTCTCTATAAACTTCAATAATTATTTGCAATAAAAATATATATAATTGATATTTTTCATTCTATAATTGAACTTAATTCAATGGTATTCTATTTAAACAAAACTAAGAGAAAATGAAATTAAATTTGTTTTGTTTAAAACTACATCATTTAAAAGGTTCTATATCTAAGCTTAGGTACATATATATGTATTATTAATATTTGTTGGCTTCTTTTCTCACATTCACATACATTTGTAGTTTTGTACACTGTTATAAACGTTTGAAACAAATAAATGTTTTGTTGATCTCTTTTTACACCCACATATGTATAAATACCTTAATAATGATTTGCTACTTCTTTTCACCCTCACATACTTATGTCAATATAGATTAACAAGCAATTGCTTACTCATTTTCATAAACACACACTTCTACATATATATAGATATATTAATAGGTATTTAGCAAACTCCTTTGTACACCCCTACGTACATGTATCGCGTGTATTCTTATTCAATTTCATGTAGTTTATAAGGTTATTATTGTCCATAAATTTCCAGCCACTATTAGTTTCATAAAACAAGTCCTTTATGTGGTAATTACTTGTTAAAGTGGACTAGGGTATCACAAGTTCAAGGTTATGTATTGGCCACGTGAGGAAGCATCAATCGGGTATTACATGCATGATAGTTCAATGCTAACTCGATGTATATTGGCAGCAATAGTAGGGGCAATATGGAATTAATTTATACACTAACTTGAACTTAATTTGGGTTACAATTCATGCCATGAAGCCCTGATGAAGGGTATGGATTTGGTCAACAACTAAATAATTCACAAATGGAGAAGGGAATAGATGGATTGTACACCTCTCAATCATAAGGGAATGAAGCAACACGTATATAACATCAAATCTTTTAACAAAAGAAAGTGTGTGTGTCTGATACATGGCCGGACCAAATAAAAAGAAGGAAAGAAAGCAGAGACAAGTGTGTATTACATGTATATGCTTCTGATTTCAAGGCTGAAAGAAGTGGATTGAGTAGAAAGGCATCGTCAAACATGAGAAGGAAGAAGATGGTTAAGAACTTACCAGGAAGTCTCGTGGTGTTACTGCTTCAATTCAACACGTACTATCCCGATTCTCTTTCCCATATCTCTCTCGTTCGTATCTCTCTTTCTCTCTAACTTCCGATGCGTAATATATATCGATGGTATCGGTTGTTTATATAAGGTGTGTAATTTGTGTTGGAATAGGATGCGATCAAGGCTTGAATACGTAGAGAATACGACCTATTCTGGGAGGATACGTTCCTGTATGTTTATGTAAACCTAATTCCCAAAATTTTCACTTTGGTCCTTGAACTTTCGGTTCTTGGTAGAATTACCCCAAATCCATTTTCCATTAAGTTGGTATTTTCCAGAATTTAAATAGACAAAATTGCAAAAATGGTCCCTATGATATGCATTTTTTTAAGGTTTTGGTTCAAACCATGAGTTTTTTGGTTTCGTAGTCATTTTGAACTGGTTTGTTTGTGAAAATGGTCCTTGTACTTAACTCACGTTAAAAGGAATCCGTTAACCCCCTCATGCGCCTTCCACGTGAGGGTATTTATGTCTTTTTACTTCTAGGGACCATTTTCGCATAAGAATATCAACGCTTCCTTTTACCTTTTATCCCTCATTTACATTCCTAAATACCCGTCAACTCCCCACCTCCCTCCTTCTTTCTTCTGCTCCATTAAACCTGTAAAAAAACCTCGTTCGTTATCCAAAGAACCTAATCGAAGCAAAAGGAGACTAAGTCATACGTTAAAGTCGAAATGGTGTACGTAATGTGGCAGATTAGATCAAAAAATGAAGTTATGGACGTATCATCCGTATATGGTAAGTTGCTTTATTTTCTTTAACTTTCCTGTTTTGCATTTTCCCCTTGATTTATACTAAAATCTGCAAAATTTTGACATTCCACATGGTTTAGTATTAAGCTTCATCATGGTGGGAAGTTTACTAAGTTACTTGATATAAAGTATATTGGAGGTGAAATGTGTTATGTTGATTATGTAGACATAGATGAGTTTTCTCTACATGAACTTGATGCCATAATGCTTGACCTAGGTTACCCAGACTCACGGATGGATGAATTGACTGATGAATCCCCGGTGATATACTATCATTTCAGGATACCCAATGGTGACTTTCAATTTGGTCTTAGAGCTTTAGGGAATGATCAGGATGTTATCAATCTTTCTAAATTTATTCAAAATAACAAGTTGATTAAGGTGTACACAGAACATAGGAAGACAAATCTACTCACTTACTTCATGTCTCTAAATGCAAAGGGTAAAGTTGTCATTGAGGAATTACCAAAAAAGGATGATCAAGGGGTTAAAGCTGAGGCTGAAGTTCATGTAAAATCTCCATTGAGAAATATGAACCATGTCAATGATGAGCCAATTAGTGAGTACATGTCTTTGATTATTTTTGGGAGTAAAAGTGATGCTTTCTCACCAGAGTATAAAAGGGGTTAGAGTTGGGAATTCAAAAAGAGGTGAAGGTTCTTGTAGCAAGAGGCTTAATTTAGAGGATATTGATGATTTAAATGAGAAGGAACACACTGATGAGGGTGTTAAGGAGGTTCAGGAGGCTGCAACTGTTATTGAAGGATGCTACAAGCCATTTACTTCAAATATTGCTAATGTGGGGGATGAGATGATTGGGGTTCATGATAAGGACCATATTGAAGGATGCTACAACACCCCACCTATTAATGATGATGAACAATATAATGAGATTTTTTGATAACCTTATGTACAATTTACTTGGAAGTGAAGAGGATGTTAAAGAGTATGAAGGGGATGATGAATCTCAAGAGAGTGATGAAGACTATGAAAATGATGAAGTTGATGATGAGGATGGGAAACAATCTGAAAGTGAAGATCAAGTGGATGACATAATGGATGAGGAGAACAATATACAAGATGTTGATGTGGACATGGAAAACTTTTGTCTAAATGTTGAAAGTGATGTTAAAGGAGCATGTATTAATGATATTCATGGTCATGAACCTAAAGATATGGAAATGATCAACAATAAGGAGTTTGAATCATTGGATGAAGGATCGGACCAAGACGGAAAAAGAAGAGCTCTTATAAAAATTTTGGGAAAAGAAAAAAGGTCCAGCCTTCGGTCAATACATATACACTCATTCTCAGTTGGATAAAAGTTTAAAAGTAAAAAAGATCTAAAGGAGCTAATTGATGTGCATGCACTAGAAACAAGAAGGAATCTATTCTTTAAAAAAATGACAATGTAAGGCTTAGGGCATAGTGCAGAGGAGTTGTACCTGTCATCAATAAAGGTCAAGTGGTGTCACACCCCCGAACCAGACGGTGGAAACGTCCGGGGGCTCATGTGACTAACAATTGAATTATCATCACAAAGAATATACATGAAACATAACACATTCATCACTAACACTACATATAACAACCATCATTGTTCACATCAAGTACATTGTTATAAATTACATAGATTCAAAGTATTAATAATACGATTAGTGATGTTACACAAAGTAAATCCATACACACTTGAAAATCTTTCTGCTTAACGATTACCTGAGAATACAAATTATTTTGAAAACGGTCAACATATATAATGTTGGTGAGTTCATAAGTATGTTTGAATAAAAGTCTTTGTATCTTTTGTAAAACCTATAAATCCGATATTTTCTGTAAAATGTTTGAAAATGATGTGAAAATCAAGTATAAATGCATGTATGAATTTCATAGCAGTAACATATATGATTGCAGTTTAAATTTCTTTGTATTGTACGTAAGTGATAATTGAATTATAGTATTTCCCTAGGAAATCCGATATTTTCTAATTTATAATAATGTCGAGGTTCTTGTATCATTAATTAAGTTGTTTCGTATCGACACAATTGAAGGGTTAATCTTTGATATGTTAAATTGATATTGGATCTCTATATAAGCCGTTATAACAATGCATGATAATGACTAGGTTGTCTGTCTTGGCATTTTCCAAACGCCGATATTTGCTCAAGGTTTTGTCGCCCTAGACTGGCATAGTCTAGCTGTAGCGAACAACTAAGGCATGGGGGGTCACCCCGTATATATGTATACACAAACTCCCTCTCTCCCTCCTGGAAACTCTGGTTATAACTACAGGCTACGATTGTACACTCAGAGGTGCCAACCGACATGTCTCACTAGATTCTCAACCTTTCATGTTTGTTATGTTTTTCACCATGTATAATGTTTACGTGTATGTTGTAGATTTTCAAATCCAAAGGTATGTATATAAGTACAAGAAGTTAAGTAATTATGTAAAGGTATAGCTACACTCTACTAACATGTGAATTTCAGTCCAAGCCAATTAGTATGCAAGTGGACCACAAAGGCCCAATAACATGTAATAGGGTAATTTAAGCCCAATAGGCATGTAAGTGGACCACCAAGGCCCAACAAACATGTGGCCCATTGAGCTAAAAATTACATTTTTTACCCCTTTGGAAAGCATGTCTATCATAAAAATCCATTTTTATACAAGTAGGACCTGTTTGATCCTTATAAAAACATAAATGTCACATTTTGCCATTATCTTTTGTTTTCTTGACAATTTTGACCCTTTAAAAGGTTTTTGCTTTGAATTTTTTATATCTTAACATATAAACACTTCTAACTTGATAATATGATGTATAAGATGTCTTAGTTCATGGATCTTTACTCAATGTTACTTAAGATATCGAGATTTGTCAAGATCTAACACATTTTTACACAATAAACTAAGAAATCACACAAGACATGCATATAACACATATATCTACACATTTTACTTGTATTCTCCCCCAAAAATCATGTAAAACCAACAACAAGAGGGGTATGAACTCACCTTTGCTTGATGTTTCGGTTTTTGAAGAAGAGGTGAAGAGATTTTTGGTCATAGCAAGCTCCTTGAGTGTATTCCGAGTTTAAGGAGTTTCTAAGAGTGTGATCATGGAATAAAGCTATGTAAGAAGGATTTCTTGATGTTAAAATGAAAGAAGATGTTTGTGTTTGATAATAACATACCAATGATAGTGATTGTGGTGAAAAATCCCCTTGGAAACACTCTAAATCTCGAAATTTTGAGGAATGAAGGAGGAGTTGTTCTTGAGAGCTTTAGAGAGTTTGAAGGAAATTTGAAGATGTGTGTGTGTTTACCTTCGGACGAGAGTAGAAGAATAGGGGAAGGAGAAGGGTGTGCATAGATATATGGGACTTGTCTAGATGTATGTGATGCATTAAGCTTGGTTATCCTTTAAACAAAAGTGATGTGTCATGGTTTGGATTAATTAACCATTTTCTTTTACTTAGGATGAAAATGGGTTAAAGAGAAGGGAAGTAGATTAGCTTGGCCCATTTCTAGCCTTGTTTCGAAATTATGAGGCCCAATAATTACTTTTCAGCCCAATGGGCTCATTATATGGTTCATGGCCCAAAATGGCATAAAAGAATGGATTTATGGCTTACTAGGGTTAATTGGATTAGTTATGACCTAGTAGGGCCCATTAGGGTTAGAATGAATCATTCTAAACCCTAATGGTCCAAAATGTTATAGATTTGTGAATCGGGTCCATTTAGAATCCAAATAGGGTTTTCAAGCCCAAAATAGTTGAATTGAATGCTTATTGGTCCATTAGGCCCCAATAAGGAAATCCTAGTCCAATATGGACTTAAACTGGGATTCTTAGGGTTTTCAGACTCTTTGTGTAAACATCCCAAAATTCAAGGCCAAAAATTTCGTTTTGATTAAGTTATTGTATAAAACTGATCAATATAAAAACTTCCATAATAATATCTCATGTCAAAACCAAAGTGTCAATAATCAAAACATAGTATCATAAAACCATATTAGAGTGTAATCCCAAGGATCCCTTGTGCGGAAAAGATACTGTGATGCGCTGCGATCAAGCCGACTCCTATCCTTTGAAAACAAAGTACCTGAAACCTAAACTGAAAACCGTAAGCACGAAGTATAGTGAGTTCCCCCATCATACTACATACCACATAATACCATCGGTATCTTTCAACCGGTAACTGGAGACTATTTCATCCCTACCACTATCACATAATAATATATCATAAACCTACTGACCAAATACTAACATCATAAACGTGTTGATCACATACTAACAAATCATAAACTAGCAGATAAGCATTGCATGGGTTCTGTATACCCCTTCGGTATCTTTCAACCGGTAACGGCCATCGGTATCTTCCAACCAGTTTCCGCCATCGGTATCTTTCAATCGGTAACCGGGGACTATTTTGCCCCTACCACTATCATACAATAATAGGATATAATCATACAGTTAGGCATATTTGGGGTACTGACCTACCCTTTGGTCCTAACAACCGAGTCAGGGAAAAACTATTCCTTGCTACTACCACTAACACACATAACATATCACATAAGCATATCTCATAAGCATATCACATAAGCATATCTCATAAGCATATCACATAAGCATACCTCATGCGCATCTCACATAAACATACCAAGATAATTATCATAAAGATAATTATCTACCAACTACCCCTGTTGGTGGGCCGACTTTGTGGCCTTAGAACCACCCATACTGGAAGGTAACTCACCTCACATTGCTGAAGTCCCGTAGACATAACCCCACACTGCTGAAGTCCCGCTGAATCAACCCCAGCTGTTGGATGATAGATTCTTGAACTGTCAACACCAAAATAACACCCAACTAATAATTGGGTCCCACTACATAACCATAAGTACATACTTTGGGTAATTACTATATTACCCCTTGCTTGGCTTTATTTAAGCTCAAGGCCCAATCCATAGGCCCAAAGTCAAACTAGGAATCAAGGCCCAACATATGGCCAAATTTTCCAAATTGGGCCCAACCTTTAAAACGTCTTACCTTAAGGCCCAATCACTAATTCCAGTCCAAACAATTGGCATTTTAATGGCCCAATGTATCATAATCATCTAGGCCCAATTGTGAGTTTTGGTTGCGCAGAGTGCAATTCCTTAGGCACCCTGTCAACCAGAAGGGTGTACTAGTCGATCCAGCCAAGATACAAGCCGTGATGTAGTGGGAGATTCCGAGGTCTCCAATTGAGATTCGGAGCTTCCTGGATCTAGCGAGTTATTACCGAAGATTTATTCGGATTTTTATAAGTTGTGTGATATTTTGGATTAGCTGGTGTTGAACACTAGCAATGGTAAGCGTGGTTTCTACCAGATTGGTCATTGGTGGTAAGAAGGATTGAGAATCCTTCCAATATTGTGTGTTGTGGAATCTTAGTTGAACCTAAGTGGGGGAGAATCGTCTAGGGATTCAGAAGTAGGAGCAGTTTTGAAACTGGGATAAGCTTCACATCTTTGTTAGGAAGGAAGACAACCCAAGTGGCTATATAGTTTGAGGTTAGTGTGAAATGGAAGTTCGGAAAAACTTGCTCATGATGAGATCGCGTTCTCGGAATGAATGCCAGCAAGCCTTAGGGAATCAGATGGGGGATTCTTATCAGGCCATGTGTTTAGTTTTGGATGTTAGGTCGTGTGTATGCTCGACGTTGGATGTATCGGATTAGTAACCGGCGAATGAGATAGTGTTAGAGTGTTGTAAGTCCGTGGGTGTAGCCATAGCATTCACTAGCAACCAGATAGTGTGAGAGAGTGTTGTAAGTCTGGGGGTGTAGCCGTAGCATTCACTAGCAGTCAGATAGTGTTAGAGTGTTGTAAGTATGAGGGTGTAACCGTAGCATTCC